ATAAAATTAATTACATCATGTTCAATTAGGACCACTACATACCCTATTAATTTCAACGATAATGTAACACTTGTAATGAACGATACCTCATACACGTGTAGTAAAAATCAACTCATTAATTTTAATGATAATTCAAATCTGATAATGGTTTCAAACTCGTATACAGATCAAACCCCATCTATTGTTGTGAATGACGATTCCACAATAACTTTAAGTGATAATTCAATGATCGATACATCAAATTTCAATACTAATGGAAAGCCAAAAGTTACTTTAAATGGGAGTTCAAAACTCATTGCTTCGAGTTCAATACAATTAAATGGTAGTACAACACTTTTAATAAGTGACAACACTTTTATGTCGACACCGACCTTTTCTTTAATAGATAAAACAAACGTCCAATTTAAAAATAACGCGATGGTGAATATTACTAAATTAAATTGTATTTCAAATACTGTACTTGTCATAAATGATTCATCAATTGTTGAATCTCAAAGTGACATCACTCTATTTAATTCTTCAAAAATATTTCTTGATGCAAATGCATTGTTGAATACGCAAGGTAATTTACTTATGAATGGTGATGCAACACTCACAATAAGCACAAATTCTTCTTTTAATTCTTCGGGTGGGTTGGAACTATACAACAAGTCATATATTACAATAAAAGGAAAGGCTACTATGAACACATCAACACAAGTCAATCTTTATAATTCATCAAAGTTATTAATTAAGGAATATGCTGTAATGAATTTAAATGAAATGTTGTATTTAAATAACGATTCAAGTGTTATTCTCAATGATGAAGCTAAAATAAATAGCAATTCGAGTGTTACTGCATTGAAATTTGTGAAAATAATGCTTACAAATAATACATCTATTAATGTGATGAATTATATCAATTTGAGTGGGAATTCGAAAATAACAATGGTAAATAGTGCACAAATGCATATTTATAAAGTATTTATTGGTGGTGAAAATTCAGGTCTTATTATGAAAGATGACAGTTATGTCCAATCAAATACAACATTCAGTTTGCATATATTTTCAAGTTTAACACTCGAGGGAAATGCAAAATTATTTGCAGTCGAGTTGTTAGATTTTTATCATACTGTGACAGCCACTGTAAATGATAATGCTTCCATTATTTCTTTGGAACAAATTAAATTCGGAATAAATGCAATTGGGACATTTAAAAATAATACAAAAATAGAATCACAAAATATATACACTAATGGTTATGCAAAGTTAACTTTAATAAACAATGCAACTTTTACATCTACATCAGAATGTAAATTCTTTGATAAAACAAAAATATTTTTTGAAGGAAATGCAAAAGCAATATTATCCTATTTGTTGGTGTCTAATTCAGCAACTTTATCTATGAAAGAATATTCAACGATCGAAGCAACAAACAACGTCAATTTTGAAACAACTTCGACTATTACAATTGATAATAATTCAAAGATGTTTGTGAATGGTAATATTATAATTAAGAATAGTTCACAACTTAACATGTATAACTTTTCATATGTGTCAACAAACTCAAATTGTTATTTAAGTGAAAATGCAACAATTCGAATTTTAAATTATTCTACATTTGTTGTCAAAAATATATTTGAAATGATTGCAGGGGTTATTGAATTTGGTGACGAGTCTTATTTTAATACAAGTCAATTTATACTTAAAACAAAAGGAAAATTCAATTTAAAAGGAAATAATAACAATTTACTTATTCCGAAAATTGAGACTAACGTATTAAATTGTTATAATGGTGGGGAAATTAATATTTTTTCAAATTCGGTGTATTATTCTGAAAGTGCTTCATTTGATAATGTTACAATAAATTTATTCTTAAGAACTATTAAAAACTTTCCTTTAATTTTTACATACAATGTAACTTCATTTAATAATGTCAATCCAAATGCAACCGACTTCGATTTGTTTTACTCGGAAACGCCATATACTGGAACACTTCCTAATAACACACAATTGTTGTTAAATGGTAAACTGCTGAGATATGGAAGCTCAAAAAAGATATTTTGCCACTTGTACAATTTTGATTTGACAACACAAAAAATGATGTTCTTTGAGTCTTATTGTCCATGTGAAGACACAGAAGACTGGTACATCACGCCTTTTGATAACGTCACTGCTTTTGCAATTGAATCTCACAAACAAAAGACTACAAAAAATGAAATTCAAGAAGATGACGAATTTTCAAGTGAAAGTGCGACAATTGGAAACAATAAAATTTCTTTTTACAGCGCAAACGATGTTACTGTTGTTGGAATTAAGTCAAGTGAAGTTGTAAGTGCTGAATTGAAATCGCTCACAAAGAAAGTACTTTTCGTTGCAGAAACCAAAATAAGTTACAATGAGTTTGTTTGCAATGCTGCATATTACACAGAAAGTATTTTTCAATGTGTTTATGGAGTTGAATGTCTTACGGGATATTACAACACAACAACAAAGAAGTGTGAACCGTGTGAAGATATTATATGTATTTCATGTGGTACTCAACCAAATACATGCATTCATTGTAAACCAAATTATATATTGTCTGATGGAAAATGTGAAGAAATCACAAATTGTGTGTCGTTTGGTCCAAATCGGTGCAAAAGGTGTTCTTCGGGTTTTGTTTTGAAAGGCGCAACTTGTGTAAAAGGTGAAAATTGTCTTCTCACAAAAGGAGATGGAAAATGTGCGATATGTAATATAACCAATGGATATATGTTGAAAAAAGGTGAATGTGTCACTGTAGACGAAAACAGCGATACCATAAATAGCAATAACATACTTTCGTGTTTTAACGGGTACTTATACAATTCTACAATGTGTGTGAAATGCAATGAAATAGATCCAAACGCCGAATATTGTGAAAATGGTAAAATAACGAAGTGTGCCGCAAAAAGTGAAATGACAATAAATGGAAAATGTGAGAAAATCAGTTGTGAAATACCAAATGATGAGAATGGAAGATGTGAAAATGACATATTGAAATGCTCATATCTGTTAAATAAGCAATGTGTCGAATGTGAAATTGGGAAATTTCTAACTAACAACATGTGTGTTGAAAAAGCGGAAAACAACTGCGTTCTTCAAAATGGATTAACATGTAAGCGGTGTGATGACTCGTATTACTTTGACAACGACACACAAAGATGTGAGAAGTGTGATGATAATTGTTTAACATGTTTTGAAACACCAACAAAATGTATAAGTTGTGGTAATGACACTTTTATGTCCGATTATAAATGCGACTCAAACGAAGAGTTAAATCATAAATGTGATCAAATTGCAAGTGTTACAAGCGGTTGTATCGTATGCAAAGATGGGTATTTTAAAACTGGAATGAATTGTTTTGAATGTGCTGAAAAATGCTCAACGTGTAACAATGAAAATAGTTGTCTCACCTGCAACACCATTTATTATAAGACAAACAACGGCGACTGTCTACCTAAAAGCAACATCATTGGATGTGGCGTTGAGGTGACACAAAGTGGGTGTTCAAAGTGTGGCGATGGGTATTTCCAAGTCAACACAAACGAATGTCAGAAGTGCGACTCAAGTTGTTTAACATGCAATTTATACAGTACTAAATGCACTTTATGTGACTCTTCACTTGTTTTGCTGTCAAACGGAAGTTGTGTTGGTCTCTTTAACATAGCAGAATGTAATCAAATTAAAAATTCGAAGTGTGTGAAGTGTTCATTTTGGAACATCCCAAATGACGATGGGACGTTGTGTGAGTCACATGTTGTGTGGTGGGTCATACTTCTTGGTGTTATTTTTGTTATTATTGTTTTAATAATAATAACAATTTTAATTGTGTTTATTACAAAAATAGTGTTGGACAGAAAACACCAAAAAGATATAGAAAAGACAACAACATTGTTTAAAATGGACAAATCAAATATTCACTTCGTCTCAATTACAAAAGGCATTTGTGTATCTTCTGAATTAGTTGACTTTAATATTGAATCGAGCGAAATACCAGTGAATGAAGAAAGTCAGGCAATGATATGTGTTGGTAATGAACTCAAAAATGTCATCAAAGTCCAGTTCACAATATTAACAAACATTAACAAATTTATTTTTAAAGTCGAACCAGAAGTCGTTTTAATAAAGAGGGGGTGTGCTTGCGAATTTTCACTTTATTTAACACCACTTTGTACCTGTAAAATCAACACAACAATTCAAATTATCTCAAAAAATCTGAAAACCGGAGAGGAGAATTATAACACAATAACAATCAACGCTGTAACTTCTCAATCAACACGAATTGATTATGACGAGTTGGTTGAAGAAAAGAAAATAGGGGAAGGATCGTTTGGTGTTGTTTACAAAGGCACTTTCAGAAATAAACCAGTTGCCATTAAAAAAATGAAAAACTCAATTGACAAAAAAGGCTCTGAACCCGGTACTAACTCATCAACAAAGCCAAAGAAAGACAAGTCTACAACACGAAAGACCGCCACTGAAGCAAAGAATGATAGTTCTAAAAATAAAACTGCGAATGCAAGAGAAGAGTTTGAGAAGGAAGTTGCTATGCTTGACAAATTTAGGTGTGAATATATCATCCATTTCTATGGCGCGTGTTTCATGCCCAACAAGATTTGTATGGTCACTGAATATGCACAATACGGAAGTTTACAAGATTTAATGAAACACAAAAAGAGTGATGAAATCGACATGAAACTGCGTATTAAAGTTATGTTCGACGCTGCAAAGGGTATTTCGTATTTACACAACAACGGAATTTTACACAGAGATATTAAGCCAGATAATATGCTCATTTTCATGCTTGAAATCACAGAAGAAGCAAACGCAAAATTGACTGATTTTGGATCATCAAGAAATATCAACATGATGATGACTAACATGACATTCACGAAAAATATTGGAACACCTAAATACATGGCGCCTGAAATTTGGAAAATCAGA